CACATGAAAGCCGAACATCATAAAGATTCCCTTACGCGTTTTTAGGATGCGTAAATAAATTACTTATTTTATATCTCAAAAATAAGCCAGAACTTAGCTTTTTTAAATGCATGTTAACAAAGTACAAATCGTTATTCTCTTAAATTTCATGGCGTAATTTTTTGAACTTTTTTTGCAATAGCTTGCTGAATACAGCATAAAAAAATTATTACAGTTGAAAAATTTCCCAGGTTCGTATAGTTTTAAAATATACGAATATAAAAGAAATTTAAACGTTTTTTGGCCTCTCTTATTCTTAAATCGACAAAGGAATACTTGTTCTTCTTACCAGCATGTTCATCCTTGACCAGAAGCCAACATGTAACGAGTAAATGAGAATTGTTTTCAAACAAGTGTTCGGGTTCATCGTCACTGTGAATTTCGCTTTTCCAACCGGCTTTCGATTTGTAAAATATTAATAACTTGTACTGTCGGCAGAACTTAGCAAATCCAAGGACGACTAGTCCATTATCAGATCTTTCTTTGGTAAAAATATTGTCACTTAATTTTTTGAACTTTTTTTGCAATATGGGAACAAACACGACACAACGGAAAAATATTCGGCAGACATTTCGAATTATGCCGCGCGAACCGGAAGATTGAGGCAAGTCAAGACAAACACAGACAACGATGAAAATTGCGAAATTTATTTATTTATTGCAAAATAAATTTTAAAAAGGTAAACAAACACTTTGTATTTTAAATTAACTATACAACACAGATAATATAACTAAAAAGACACTGAGAAAAACAAGCCAAAACGACTTTGATAATTGGTTCAATATCAAATATCTATTAAAAGTGCACATTTATAAAATAGACATAAAATTTGGTCTAGCACGTTTTGTATATATCTACTATACACAACTAGTTTATATTACAATTGTCTATTCTTACAACTATGTCAAATAATTTGAAAAGAACGGTTTCACCAGTGAGAGGATACAATGATACACCCAGGGCCGTAGCGAGGGCAGGGGTGTTGGGGGGGGGGGGTTAACCACCCCCTCAACTTTTTTAGAATCGACATATTCGGAGAATCGGGCTGGCCATTCGGAAAATTACGGCAATAATATTAGTAGAACAAAATTTTAGCTGTTAAACAGAGAAAATATTATAAAATTGTATTGTCAGTATAAACTGATTTATGAAATTATGGCATTTACATGGATAACATTTAACAAATTGTAAATCGGTAAATGTTTTTCAGTTCATTACTTCTCAGGGCCGTAGCAACCGGGGGGGGGGGCACTGCAGCCCTCCCAATAATTTGGTAATCATTCTTTAATATACCTTTAAAATGCTGACAATTGATTAATTTTAATTGGCTATTATCCATGACAAACTGCAAAAAATCATATTACCCATACTTTTCCTGCAACTTCTCCAATATGCAGTATAGTTAATTAAATACGTCTTCGCCCATTTGGTACTACTAAACTGTAAGCAAATTGTAAATTTTGACATACTAAAATGCTTTTTTCTGACCATCAGTATTCTGTCAAAACTTTCCCAAAGTCAAGGAAATGGCATTTCAGGGACTCTAAATTTAAAAATTTCCTCGGGCCTCCGTTCCCCCTAATGAAAAAGAGCTTCCTACGGCACTGCTTCTGTAATATGTCTCTGCGTCTATGTCTTGCGCGTATGTCTTGGCCTACACCCCCCCCCCCAACTATACATGCTAGCTACGGCCCTGGATACACCCAAGAGAAGAGCAGAATTTAGCACACCACCTCGGCCACAAAGAAATGCTCTGGACCCAACTATTTTATAATACCCTATTCTATGATGACCCTTGTGTTTCCAGTGGCACCCTTCACCAAAAATTATGCACCTGGTAAATACAATGCAATAATTGACATAATTTACCAAATTATTGGTGCGAAATACAGTAGTCACAGTATTCAAAACTATTTTCATCGAGTTTATGCAAACAAAGTGCAGGGTTTTGGAAAAACAGAAGGTACATGCAGATGGGTCTTCTACCAGAATAATGTGAGATGTTTCCTAGAACAATCCAATCACCTACTCACTCCAGTCTTACAGGGGGAACAACTTGATGAGACAACAATGAATTCATTGCTGCATCAATTGAAGTCTCACTGCATGCAACAGGGCACATCAACCCCTCTAGATAACAAAGCAGAATGCTGCCTAAACAAAGAATATGACATATTTATAAACTATGTTAACCAAATGTTTGAAAAGGCCATTATGCTCAAATTAAATAGTAAGTGGTCCAAGCAGTTTAACAGTGATAAAAACACCCTTCATTTCCCACAACAGAGGTCTCAGAACTATGGGCATCTCCTGCAAGCCGTTTCCACTAATCATCAAATAGATTGGTCACACTTTGTCATTTCTCAGAGTGGCAAACTTTTTATCCAACCTAATAGCCCGTACGCTGTCGCTTTTAAACTTCTTCACCGAACCATTGCACTGATTAAAAGCCTCGACATTGGACAAATACAGACACAAAGCAATCCAAGGTGGCAAAACCTTTTTCCCCGCGCGTATTTCGCAATATTGTTGTGGCTATTTCAGCTTCGGATTTTATCGTGCTGGAAGAAATCCTCTCGAGAACTGCGATCACTTCATTGATAGTGAAAGCATCAGTCGACTGTCGAATAACAGGGGATGTTTTATCGTCCTTTTCGGCATCGGTGTCATCTAAACTAAGAATTAAATCAAAATCTTCCTCTTCCATTTCAGCTTGAGCTTCCACCATTTTTACTCGCATGTGTTCGAATATTTGGGGGGTCCCTTGCATCACAGACATATCAGGGCTCCTATGCTCGTTTCGCCGCCCTATCTTATAAACGCCCTGGTGGATTCGACAGTGGCGTTATGTTGGATAAAAAATGATCAAGCCTGGAAACAGCATATTCAAAATACATGTAGCTGAAAGTTGCCTGGTTGTTTTAATGTAGATAAAAGTTATTCATGGATGTAAGTTTCTAAATTCCACTTTTGCAGCAACTAATGCTCTTGTATTTTAGTAGTGTTCCTGTTGTAGTTCATGCCCCCTGAAACCAAATTCTTACTATAAATATGTCACAAACAGTTTACTTTTTAACCAATTGAATCACATAATTTTTTTTGAAAATATGACTCTAGCATCCCGCATGGAGACAACAAAATTTTCATCAGATCATGAAATGTTTGTGCAAATTTTTCAGTCTTGAAAACAAAATTTATGTGTGGGTATGTAGAAAAATTATCAGAGTTGATGTGGTATAATTTTTATCATGTTTTATTTACGTGTGCGAAGTATTTTGCGTTTTGCCGAAGTCGTATATTCATCAGTTGAGATATAGGTGTCAACCTTAGGTATAATGTATATATATATGAACAATGCTTTTCATTGAGTGCTTGTGGCATGCAACAAATGACAGAGAATGGGGCAAGCTTAATATAAATTGACATTTGGAAGCATTCGGTGCATTCTACACACCGTTTTGGGCTGCCTATATTCTCTCTGAAATGGCTTCCTTTGTGAGAAGCCATGAAATTGAAGTCCTAACAAAAATTAATTTAGCACTTCTTTTGGGTCTATTGTTTATTTGAAACCATGGATCCCCACCGCCCGGGACATAGCAGGGGATTAACAAAATTTAGTGGGGATTTAACATTATTTAACAACATGCTATGCCCCAGAGGGAGGTGGAATTAACTAAATGTTTTTATAACCGGGCAACTGACCCGGGATATTAAACAGCCACTATATATGAATACACCTGTGAAAACCGGGCACTGGTGAAAAACGTGTTAAACAGTTACATGCGTTTGAAACTTTTAAAAACTCAGCAGCCAGTCAAGCAGTCAGTGGTAATACTTCATCTCAGATTGAAGTTTGAATATCAATATGGCCGCCTGAAGTTTAGATTCTGCATTGTCGCATATTATGTTGTATGGTATATTATTAATTTGAAGGTATAAAATATTTCATAGTCTGAGTGAGTGTCTGTATTAAATTAATTTATTCTACTTAAATTTAATGCACTGCATTATTTTAATTTATTATTTATTATAGTAGTATTATATAGCAGTATAATAATAGCATTATAATACTGGGACTTGCAGACCTGCCAACCCTTGAGTAGCAGAAATAGTGAGTTGCCATCTAAAAAGTTGTGAGATTGACTGAAAAATCGTGAGAGAAATTTTCAGGTTTGCTCATATGACCATTTTCAGGTTTGCTCTTATTACTCATAACATATCTTATTATATCTTGGCGACCCTATATAGTTCTTGCAGTGTCTTTCAATTCACCTTTTCGACCCTAAAAACACGTGTAGCAACATGTGACCAAAAAATGTAAACAAATGCCAAAAGTTCGGACAAGCTTTTGTTCGAACATACAATTGATTGTATGTTCGAACAATTTAGCTTGTCCGAACTTTTGTTTGCACATGTTGCTACATGTGTCTTTAGAGTCGAAAAGGCAAATTTCAAACTTTACAACATTATAACATAAATTATGCCTTGTCACTATATTATATGGGGAAATAAATAATATTACATAACTCTTGTCATTCTTTAATCGTAAAGTATTATATTTAAACCAGATCTTAGCCTTTTTACTGTGGTAATAGTTCCATTCACTACTACGACATGAGATTAAGGCTATAAATTGAAAAGCTATTCAATTAATAAGCATGCCTTATAGCATTTGTCTTTGAAACTCTGCACTATCCTTGGATCCCTAGTTCCACCTCTGACCTGTGGACATAATGCAACAGAAAGAACAGCCTTCTTTATCTATCTCGCAACAACTAATGACATACAATTCATGTAAAAATGACACAAGTAAGAACCAATCTTATTTCAACTAGAAAATTTAGGTATTCACAAAATATTCCCATATACATTTAATGCACACAAATATCCGTTGTGCTTCTATTATATGATACATTAATTCAACCCCACATGATGAACACTAAGACAAGATCACACACTACAGATAACCTAAAAACACATGCTCACTAATGATTCAGTTCAGACATACACCGCTGTGATAATTCCCATATTTATTTTTCTCGATGTGGGCACTTACCAAATGCAGAGGATGTGCACAATTAAAGCACTGCCCTGAATTTGCAAATTGAGACCCCGCCACCCTCGGGTATGGCCAAGGTCAAAACAAAGAACTCTCCTGCAGCGGCGGTAGAAAATGCATTAATCGCTGTGAAGGAGAAAACACTATCACCAGCAATTTGACCACCTCTTTTTCCACGAAACAAAAACATAGGTTACTAAATCTCCCAATCTGGGCTTATATATTGGCCAACGACCAAATCAGGGCATAGGGATCAAATACCTTGGCAGGACAACCTGCCAGCTGCCTGACCAACAAAAGAGCCTGATCCACAGGTGTCATGCCCCCAACATGCTGAAGCTGCTCAAGACAAGGGAATCATACGTATGCCACACATGCTCAAACTAGAATCGTACATATGCCACACATGATGGAACTAGAATCATACATATGCCACACATGCTTGAACTAGAATCGTATGTATGCCACAAAGGCATGAACTAGAATCATATGTATGTCCAAATGCTTGAACTAGAATCACATATGCCACACATGCTTCAACTAGAATCATACTTATGCCACACATGCTGGAACTAGAGTGAGACGTACATACCATCCAGGCTTGAGTGAGAATCATATGTATACAACACAGGCTTGAACTAGAAGTGGCCATATATCCCACAGGCTTAAACTAGAATCCTACGTATGCTTCACAGGCTTTAACTACAATCGTACGTATACCACACAGACTTAAAACTAGAATCGTATACCAATCAGGCTTGAACGAAAATGGTACGTATAACACACAGGTTGGCAACTACAATCATATGCCACGCAGGCTTGAACTAAAATCGTACATATAACACAATGCGTTTGAAACCAGAACCGTATATGACACTATAACAAACATACTTGCAGGGCTGTGAGTCCGGGATTGGACGCACCAAGGGTGGCTGGAAGTTTCCCAAACTCACCGAGCGAAGCAAGTTCGGGAAACTTCCAGCCCCACCTGAGGTGCGTCCAATCCCGGACTCACCAAACCTGCAAGTATGTTTGGTTTTTATCACATGCCATTTCGGTAAAATACTAAAAAGTACTGAAGAATTTTATACGCATTTTACTTTTTAGTATATAATTTCGTGTTTGGATAATGAACATTTTAACCGCCAACATATTATGCAAACAAACAAACTTAGGCTTAAATTAAAGCTAAAAAAATTCTCTACAATACTCCCTTATTCTTCAAAAGAGAAAATGAACACATTCTGCAAAAACAATGCCAAGATTTATATAAAACCGCTCGTGCCGAACAAATTTTGGCAACCATCTTTCTTTTTTTCCACTTTGAATACAGAATATTCCATTTTCATCACACAAAATAAAAATAATAATTATAAAACAATTAAAAACAGTTAATTTATTTTTTTATTTAAATCTTTGTCTGAAATTTGTTCAAATCGCTTCATAATGGCCGCAGCCAAAACATCGATCTTGAACCCACCTCCTAAACTTACGTCAACAGGTGGGTTCGAGATTGAATGCACCTCCTTGTAGCCAATAGGAAAGCTGCCAATATGCTAGGTATGAGATAAAGGCATAAACTAAACACATACATATAACACACAGATTTCAAAGTAGAATTGTATGCCACACATGCTTGAACTACAATCGTATGTATACCACACAGTCATGAAACGAGAAACACATGCCCAAACTACAATCATACATATAGCACACAAGCTGGAATTAGCATCGTATGCAGCACAAGTTTGAACTAAAATTGTATGCCACACACATGCTTGAACTAGAATCTTATGCCACACAGGCTTATGCCATACAGACTTGAACTAAAATCTTATGCCCCACAAGCTATATGCCACACAGGCTTGAACTACAATCTCATACCACACAGGCTTTAACTATAATCTTATGCCACACAGGCTTGAACTAAAATCTTAAGCCACACAGGTGTTATGCCACACATACTTGAACTAGAATCTTATGCCACACAGGCTTGAACTAAAATCTTATGCCACACAGGCTTTATGCCACAGGCATTATACCCACAGGCTGTGGGTTCAATTCCTACAAGAGGACCTTGTGCTGCATTTTTCGCAGTCGTTCCTAGTTAGGTCTTAAAATGTATATATTCCCACTTGGATTACAAACCCTAACATCCTAATATTTATGCCACACAGGCTTGAACTAGAATCTTATGTCACACAGGCTCAAACTGGAATCTTATGCCGCACGTGCTTGAACGAGAATCTTATGCCACACAGATGAGACTGATGATTGAATGCCACAATTGGGTGCCAGCGAGAACCATATAAGCAACAGCTACACACAAATGGAAGCTATAATGTGCTGCCATATGCCCCACACAGACTATAACTAGAAACAAACATAAAGTAAAACCATGCACCAGTAAAGCATGACTAATTATTACACAAACTGAACAATAAGCAGACAGAAGCATTATTATGCCTGCTACATATGAGGCCTTTGACTTAACGCAAGATGGCTAAAACACGATAATCAGACTGAATGGGGATGAAGTTCTTCCATGATACCAATGAGTCGCTGATGAGAGTTAATAAAGTGGGGAAACAAAGCCCACCGGAACAAGTAAAATATATCGAGCCAAAGCACAGAAGCAAATAGCACTTAGCAAATCACCACTAAATTCAGTGTTTGAGCAGGACTAGCAGCATCTAAATCAACATTAACTTGTTCAAGGACGACAGGATTCTATTGAACAACTTCTGGTGGCAACACAGGAACCGGTGCCCAAACCGGTTGCTGAGCAATACAGCACGAGCGGCAAAAGCGTGGTTATTAAACATCCCTTTACTCAAACACTTCTCCCTGTGGTGATCAGCACCACACAAGCTGTATTACAGAAAATTCTACCTTTTATGTATTTCCTTCATTAATTATTCAATAAACATACTCCTTATGCTTATGTTAACACTTAATCAGTTCCAACAGAACATTTTGCCAGTTTGAATAGTGAACTTTTTGCAGAAATCAGTATACTTACTGTCAGCTACCACCAATTTGAAGTGCAACAACCTTTTCACATCAAATTATATCATCTGATTTTGATATCTTTATTTTGTACAAAAATGCTTAAAAGCTTTTTTTTCTACAATGAGATATGTTCTGTGAGTTATGTTCTACAATTGAATGCTGTTGCTTAATATTTCAAATTTACTTGATTCTACTAACTTCATTGTGTTAGCTCCATGCAATTACAGACTGGTATGCATGCTGTACACTGTTCGTGTATTATATTTGTACACTATTCACTAACAATTGCTATTGGAGTGGATTTTAATCATTTTATGAATATTTCACAAGTTCCTTGAAATGGGTAGTTCCTTGAAATTCTCGGAGGACATGGCTAACATATATAGAATGTCACACAGTACTGGTAACTTAAAGTTGCAACAAACATCGCCATCTCAACCAGTAAATCTATGGAATTGAACTATCGATGCTTGATTAAAACTACGACACAAAGCTTACAGAAATTGTTGCAATAAATGAACTTGCCAAATTTCGTCTGTTGGATCTTAAGATGCAAGATTTGTTTCGTAATTATAAAACTGTAATCGGAAATGCAAATATCCGCACTGATTGTTTCAGAATTTTGGTTCCATGCAACATATACTGTTGAAAGTACAATATTACATTTAATGGTGAATGGTATTTTGATGTGCATCTGCAAGTACTCAGTACTACTGCTAACTGAACTTTCTCCTTCTGTCGTATTCCTCCTCAGTAAAGTGTTGTTCTAAACTGCATTTGAGTTGATAATAGTCTATATCATGGTACATAAACAGCAAGAATTTTTTAGGTTATGGGAGCAAAATGCAATGTTAGGGCTATAATAAATCCTAGTGCTTTATTTTATAACTGAGCTATAATAATATACATATAGGTGTTACTGCTGTCGTGTCTCTAGTCCAACTCTCTATAACAATGTCTAGGTTCTTGAGGTCTTAGATCATAGTGTTAATAATAATTAATTAATCATTAGCAATCAGATTATATCACATTTTCCTTTTTCAGTCGTAATCTTGTGAGAACTGGTGATATTCATCTGACGAGTATTGAGGACCATTGTCAGAGATGACGTTGTCTGGAATACCATGGTGACTGAAGATAGATTTAGTTTTTGCTATAACTGTTTAAGCTTTGGTGTCCCGGAGTTGAGCTATTTCGGGATAACGGCTGTAATAATCAAGGATAATGAGATGAGATTTACCGTTCCACTCAAAAAACTCTGTTCCAATTTGTTGCCATGGTGGACTAGGAATGGGATGGGATTGTAGTTTCTTGTGTGTATTGGCATTGCTGTTGGTTTGACATGTCTTGCAGCTGGATACCATGTTGTTGATCTCGGTATTCATACCAGGCCAATATATACTTTCGTGAGCTAGATGTTTCATTTTCTCCATACCTTGATGTGACTGATGCAACTTAGTAAGAGTATCTCCATGCAGTTTAGGAGGAATCAATATGTTACGAGCTTTATAAATTAGCCTATCTTGCGTTGTCAGTTTGTGTTGATCTTGATAATATGCACAAATATCTGGCAGAACAAGAGATTTGTGTTCTGGCCAGCCGGTTTGGATTTCCTGTGGGAGTTAATTGCATCATGTGTTGTCCATAGATATCTCTGAGTGAATGACTTGTTTTAGTCGTGAGTACTGTTCACTCTTGACATGTAATAAGTTCTAGTGCTTTATTTTATAACTCGGCTATAGTAATATACATATAGGTGTTACTGCTGTTGTGTCTCTAGTCCAATTGTCTATAACATAATAGCAATCAGATTATATTAAAAGGGCTACTAACATAAGATAGGGCTACTAACATAACATTTATGGGCATGTTTATTGATTCCTCTTTTAGTAGTGCGTAAATCGTCCATTCACTTATCTGAGTCTGGCGTATATTGTCACAGAAGAGGCCTCTATTTTAATAACCCCAGCCACTAAATGCTTAATACAGCATCTTGTTCTAAATATTGTAATTATATTGTAAATACAAATGGTTTTGGTAAAATCCAGAATTCAGAACTCAGATTTTTGTTTACAGATGCTATTTAATTTAACATGTCATGAGGAGGATATTGAAGAGTACTGGAGTATCAAATTTAAACTGTTAATTCTGAGAGAATTATATATAGCCAACTTGATGTTTTAAAATTATCATCAAGTTTCTAATTAATTAAAATGTGCTATAACTGGGACTTTCACAAATTTCATTTTGTTTCTGCAGACTTGTTCTCTGTGTATCAGTGCCACTGCCTGGCACAAGTTAATCCTGCAGCATCTTGTTCTTTAAAAAAAAACCAACATAACAAAAACAACGTCCAAATTGTGTTCTTGGCTATTCCACTTTTGGATCAAGAGTCGATAAGCTTGGAAGTATTGGAGTACTGCGATTTCTGTTTGAAAACATTTGTACTGTACTTTGATGGTTTATATGGTAAGGTTTGGTTATAGTTTTGAAAATTAATTTACTTTGAAGAAATTGTTTACACGATATTTGAATTATAAAGTAGACTCTCTTGACCAATAATTTATATGTTTGAAGTCCATGATGGTTATTACCAAGACTCATTTTGAATTTGTTTTATTACAGAAATTAAAAGCAGATATAAACTCTTGCGTTAGTTTCCACCTCAAGCCGATTAATGCTTGGCTCTTGCCATGCTTGACTTGATATATCTGCGCGAGTTGTGTGCGATTAAACATATCTAGCGTGTTGCCATTTGAGTGTGTTTTGGCATTCAAGTGAAACTGAAATTTAATAAATATGAGCTGTTGGATTATGTTAGATTACAACAACCAGCAGGGATGAGTAAACTATTAGTTTTTCTTCTGCAATTGGCCGTTGTATAGTATATCATATGCGATATGTGGCGACCTTTGAACTTTGATATATAATATCGCTATTGCAGGTTTTTATGTCTGAATTATTCAACATCGATTTGTGTCCTTTTTAGTTTCCTATGCACAGAAAAATATTTGAAATACAAATAAGTACCCAGCATATGGATGGTTCAAAATTTTTTGGGGTGGTGATGAAACTCTTAAGGGCACAATAAATGTTGTTGTTGAAATATAATATCCTTTCATATAAAGGCTCAGATAAGTGTCGAATATTCTTCTAAATATATAAACGAACATATGTACTTATCATATTGTACTTCTGTTCCTCACATATTATTTGAATGCACTACTTACTAGTTGCAAATGTTTTGTTAGTCATTGTATAATATTTCTATATTTGTATTTCATAATATTTTGTTTCACGGCAAGGGCCTATATTAAATATAATGATCATGGTATGTGCGAATTCGTCACAGAAAAAACGTGTTGGACTTGGTTAAGACACCATTAATGTGGGTCGTTAATAAATAGATTGATAAATAGATCCTACAATTAGACTTGTAAACATTGTAATCTAGAACAATTGTTTAAGTGCAAATTATATTGACATTGACAGTAACATTTTCATATATGTGGCATATTCTTTAAGTTTCTAATTAGTACATTAGTATATGAGTAAAAGGTTCCGCGATATTTTTGTACATATCCAAGAATGTTTAGTGTGCCCGCAAGTTGTGTTTTAAAACATTAAGTTAATTTCCATTATCATCGCCAATATCTTGTCACATGACCAGTTTCCAAAGAAATCAAATAGTTGATTTCCAACATGTTGCAGTATGTATCCCGATAAAACAACCGATTGAACTCGATTAAACATAAACAATTTACTGAACACGTATATTTACTAAAACGCCATCTTGGATCCTAATCTTTTCTATACTTCATGTTACAACAATATAGTAAACACTACATTCCCTTCCTTTGTACAAACAAAACCTACCATCTGTAAATACGAAATATGAACTTTAAAGTACTTTTATATGTTATCAACTGTTCGAAATTAATTAAGTTTTATACTCGGACGAAGTTCAGTTATATACTTATACTATATAAAATCTACATTATACTAAGTTATCTTACAGTGTTCAACACAAAATCCTTGAACTTGTCTGGTAATTTTCTCACTCGTGATGGTCTGCTTATCGGCACTGCAACAGGATTACCTTTTTTCGTAGGTGATACAGCTGCAATCCTGGACAAAACCATCTGCGACACTCTATTAAAACATTCCTTTGTGGCTTTTTTTACCAGTTAGACCGGAATAATTTACTCGTTTGCCCCCCAAAACAATGTTGAACGTTTTATCCGTATTCTACGAATCCAATCAACATTGAATGGTGGGGGAAAGGGGGAGGTTTTCTAAATTTACGATAACATTACGATATTTTGTCAAGTATAATTGGAAGTGTCGCAGATGTTTTGTCCAGGATTGTCTGAAATGGGTCGAAATTACATTCTTTTATATTTCGCTTGTTATACATGTCCTTGCCATGTATTTTGTTTATGCGCATTGCTCATGACCTGCTTATATTCATAATTACATCAAGTACCTTATTTCATTAATTAAATACGTCATGAATACCTTAGTGTTTTGGAGGGGGTAATAATGTGTGGTAGAATATACAATACAGTATATTATTTTTAATTTTAGCAATTAAAAACAACGAAATGTTGCAGAAATAATTGAGAAAGTAAAACTATCGCGTTCTAGTCGATTCGTTGCAATAATTCAGAAATTAAGAAATATATACGAGTCATATTTGTTAACTGTATATTATAAGACCTGCAAGACACAATAGACAACCTATAGTCGACCATGTGAGAAGGTGCCTAGACAGACATGCAAACGATCAGTGAATGAGATGCAATGTACGACACAAAAAATATATTTCCATAAGAGTTCGTGCAACTTATATATTGAAAGGTTGTACATTCAGTCTATACATAGACGAATGCGTGTGGTATCGAGTAGAACTAAAGGGCAATAAATTCAATATAGTTACCGCGTTTCTGGTATTTACTGCATATAATTATAATATTAAGCGACAACTATATAATTGTGAATTATGCATTTTGACACAAGTTTTCCTGGTGTGGTAAATCAATGCTTATATTTTCCCAATGTCATATCTGACGGTGTACCACTGACCAATACACTAAGACTGTGATAATATCCTCAGTTATGGGATATAATACAAACCAATGAAATGGACTTGAAAGAACGTGTGTTGCTTAGTATTCCAACCTACTTCAGACAATATTTAGTGCGATAATTTTAAAATACTCCACGGTGTACCATTTTCACCCTACAAAAGGTTATATATATATATATTCTTATATGTTCACGCTGTACCATGGTACACCGTCAATGCGCATGCGCTATTATACGACAATAACAAAATCTGATTAGTCATTTAGTGCGGCGGTCACGCAATATATTTCCACTCAACAGCTAAGCGTTAGTCTGTCTAACAACACAAATAAGTATGGATAAACGCATTTTAGAATATTCTTAGTGCAAAATAGTTGGTATATACACTATGAGGTACATTGACTTGCTCTCCGACGTATATTAAATGCACGAAAGTCGTCGCATATGATTCTTAATCGCATTCCATACAAGCTATCGAAGCATAGCGTTGCATGAGGGGTGTTATATTACCTTGTCAACAACGTGGCTTTGCTTCTTGAAGCCTAATACATTATAGTGAGCCATATAGTTACTATGGGAAGAGAAAGTCCTGCATAAAACACAATTTTTAATGCGCAATGGCTTGGTTATTGAATTTGAAAGATACAGACAATCCTGGACAAAACCATCTGCGACACTCTATTAAAACATTCCTTTGTGGCTTTTTTTACCAGTTAGACCGGAATAATTTACTTGTTTGCCCCCCTTCACCCCCCAAAACAATGTTGAACGTTTTATCCGTATTCTACAAATCCAATCAACATTGAATGGTGGGGGAAGGGGGAAGTTTTCTAAATTTACGATAACATTACGATATTTTGTCAAGTATAATTGGAAGTGTCGCAGATGTTTTGTCCAGGATTGTGTATCTTCAGATCTTTCAGACTCCATAACCGGTTTCTTGCACTCCTGGTTCTTGATAGGGTTTCACAAATGAATTGTTTTGCCTGTACACTACACCTTCGTCCGACTTGACAGTTAGTTCCTGTCCTTTAGTTTGAACAATGTATGGTTTGGTTTCAAACTTTGGATCCAGTTTTCCAGATGTTTTGGAATTTTTAAGGACCTTATCACCTGGGTTAATTGGATTCTGGTTTGCTTGTCGATGTTTGTCAGCATACTCTTTTCCTGCCACCTTTTTATTCCAGTCACGATCTCTAATGGTTTCATCCAAAATGTTTTTATCAGGACGTAACTTGGGAAGTTTAGTCTTGAGTTCTCTTCCAACTTTCAGTTAGGAAATCCTCAAATTCCTCTGATACAAATTGAGCTCCGTTGTCGGACTTAAGAGTAAATGGATAACCGTATTGCGCAAAAATCGGTGTCAACATTTCTATCACTTTTTGTGTTGTGGTTGACTTCATAATAACTACTTCAAAGAAGTGACTGTAGTAATCAACGATTACTAATACGTTTTCTCCCGAAGGCAATGGTCCTAGTAGATCGATAGCTACATCTTGCCACGGTCCGGATGGAGGTTCGGTACGTTGCATCGGTTCAGGTGCTATAAAATCTCCAACCACTTGACAGCCATGGCATCTCTTGCATATGCGTTCTGCATCACCGTCCATTTTAGGCCACCAAACTTTACTCCTTAATCTGTTTTTCATCTTCACTATGCCCTGGTGCCCTTCATGTACTTCATTTCTAAGAGCTTGTGGTATCACTATTCTTGTTCCACGCATAACCAGCTGGCCAATAATGCAAAGTTCGTTCTTTACACTCGAATAATATGGCATTTTACATTCAGACCAATTTCCTGTACGAATATAATGTCTAACACTTACAAGTTCAGGATCCTTCTCCGATTCTCTTTCAACTTCTTTAGCTGTTAATGCCACCGGTGTACTTTCTTGTGCGATAATTCGAACAACATCCACAGTTTCGCCACTGTGATCTTTAGGAACTTTCGAATTTAACCTAGACAAAGCATCAGCTATGTTAGTTTTTCCCGGCTGATAGACAACCTTGAAGTGATAACCTTGTAGCCGAAGAACCCATCTTTCGAGTCGTGCAGATGGCTTAAACAATGTGTTGTATATATACTGTAAAGGCTTGTGGTCCATCTCTAGCTCAAATTTACGACCATAAACATACAACTTGAATCTCTCACATGCCCACACCAACGCAAGACCTTCTTTCTCCGTTTGGGAATACCCTCCTTTCGATGTCAGTGAGGTTCCTAGATGCATACGAAATTACTCTCCATGAATCACCCTGTAACTGTGTGAGAACCGCTCCAATCCCTGTAGGACCAGCATCAGCAATAATGCGTGTTTCACAATCATTCTTGAAGTAAGCAAGCGTCTCGGCCTGAGTTAAAAGATCTTTCAATGTTGAAAAAGACTGTTGTTGAGCTTTTCCCCATTCAAATTGCTGATTCTTTCTAGTTAATTTTCTGATTGGTTCTGCCACTTGTGCAAAATCAGGTAGGAACTTGGCACAGTACTGCACTAGGCCTAGGAAAGATCTAACTTCTGCAGCATTCTTTGGGGGTTTGGCATCTCTTACAGCTGCCACCTTCTCTTCGTTTGGCGAAACACCATCACAACCAAGATCATGACCAAAAAATGTCAACTTTGGAAGTCGAAACTGACACTAGTTTGCATTTAGGGTTAATCCACACTCCCGTAAACGATTAAGTACAGCTACCAAATTCTTGTCATGCTCTTCAATTCCCCATCCATGGATGATCAAGTCATCCGCAATGTTGGCAACTCCTTTGCAACCAATCAATACATCCTTGACTATCTTCTGGTACATCTCGGGTGCTGAGGTTATTCGAAACATCAACCTCTTGTACCTATATAGTCCACTATGCGTTACAAATGTGGTGATACGACGCGATGACTCTTCAAGCTCGACTTGATGAAATCCCGATTTCAAATCTAATTTACTGTAGACTGTTGATCCATTTAACTCGTATAAGACTTCCTCTATAGTGAGGATTGGATGAAGCTCCCTTTCAATAGCTTTGTTCGCTTGCCTCATATCGACGCAAATACGAATATCACCGTCCGGTTTTGGTACGACAGCAAGAGGTGATATCCAACCGGTAGGGCGACTTGGTACTTCTTCAATAATATCTTCTAATAACTCCTTAAGCTTTTTGTCCACTTTTGCTCTGAGACCAAACAGTAATCTTCTTACTGGTTGTGCTACTGGTTTCACATCATCTTTAATGTGCAATTTCATCTGGAAATCCTTTAGTTTTCCCACTCCTGAGAAAATTTCTTTAAAATCATTCATAATATCTTTATCACTGCCTTCATATGCATCCAAGTAGACTTGTGGAGAACGTGGAGGTCCCACTCTAAGAACATTTAATTTCTCAGCTGTATTCTTTCCAAGTAAAACTTTTCCTGGACCTTCAACTACGGTAAACTCATCGACACAGCTTACCCTTGAATCTTTACAGAAAATATCGCTTTTGAATGTTCCCAAAACCTCAATTGAATCCGTTTGTCCATATGCGAACAATTTCTTTTCGCTTTTCTGAGATTCACACTTCACACCTTTTTGTTTCAGGTTTTCCCATGTTGCTCGATCCATTATATTGCAGGAAGCTCCAGAATCGATAAGGACATTTAACTCCACACCTCCAATGATAAGATCAACAACTCCACCTGTCTGTTCACCAGCAGGTTTAACTACAAAGCATAATTGTCCGTTTCTGGTTCCTGTTTCTCTTCCTCTACTTGATAAGATCCATCTTGACATTGTTTTCCATTTGAGGGTTTCTTTGGGGCTTTAGTACGACAACAAACTGCAAAATGACCCACCAATCCACATTTTTTACATGTTTTACTTATTGCAGGACAGCTTTTATCTTGTCTGATGTGCCCTGTTATATTGCATCAATAACATTTCCTACCCTCTTTATGATTTCCATGAGATGCACGGTCATCAGATTTGGCACCATACTTTCCTTTCCCCCTTCGATTACCTTGCAATATTCCATGTACTTGATTTGTACCTGATCTATCCATAGATTGCATTTGTGTGTTTACAGTTTCGTGAACTCTAGCCATGTCTTGAAGCACAGATAAAGTTACCGTACCTGTCTTTTCAAGAAACTTTCGACGAAGCTTTGGGTCTCTGCATTTTTCAATAATTTGATCACGAATTGCTTCATCCACATTGGTAAACTCGCATGAAATACACTTTTGTCGAAGTCGACAAACAAACTGATCTATGGTTTCATTCTCTTTTTGCTGCATTTGTCGAAACATATGCCTTTCAAAAGCCACATTTACTTTAGGTGTAAAATATGCATCTAAAGCGTTCAAACATTCCTGAAGATTGTTATCTTCACTAACTGGCTTTAAAGTATAATACAGTTCTTGTAATTCCATTCCTTTGGAGTGTAATAACAAAGCAACTTTTTGCTGTTCATTTGTAACGCCTTTTGACACCATATACAGGTTGAAAGCGCGTTTCCATCTTCTCCAGAGAATTGATAGTGTATTTGGAAGCAAGGAAAACCACAAACTTCGAGTACTTTCGCATTCGTATTTAAAACAACGGCTCCACTCGATTCACCTGCTTGAATATTTTCCGAATTTTGATTCGTTTCCATAATACTAATTTATCAAAATTCCTTTTAAACAAGTCCTCGATATATTTAGATGTAAATCCTCGTTGCCATTTGTAGTATGTATCCCGATAAAACAACAGATTGAACTTGATTAAACATAAACAATTTACTGAACACATATATTTACTAAAACGCCATCTTGGATCCTAATCTTTTCTATACTTCATGTTACAACAATATAGTAAACACTAGACATGTCACCTAAAAATGAGAGTCATATTGTACTTTGTTAATTTTTAAAGATTTTTCCTATTTTCTCACTCCTTAAAAAATTGGAGCCAGGCATTAATGCATCTGAGACTGCCCACCAGACTGAAATATACCAAATCATTTGAGTCTACGACATTGGATCATAGGTGTTATGTTATGTCAAATTGAACGAGTGAACATTTGTTTTTCGATTTTTATTTCAGGAGAAAGACACATGACTGCTAACTGTTTACTGCATAACATGACTGTAACCACAGTTTACTGCATGTAGTAACGTGTGTCAAGCAACTTGGTCCACTTTGGGCAAACTCTTCATTTGAGTTTCAGAGTGCAAATGGTCATTTGAAATCCATGTGTCATGGGACACAGAATCAATTTGACATGCAGGTACTCTAATTACTATTTGCTAATTATTTACTTTAAGAAGTATAACCCTTTTGCTTCTGAGCATGGTATTTGTTTTGTTCATTTAATTTTTTTGCTAAACATTAAACAAGTTCTAAGTAGATTTAAATATAAACTAGAAATACATGCATGCAGCAACCCCTCGCCCATATTTTCCAAACATTGATTTAACATGAAGTATTAGCAATTGACCAACACTGATGAACGCAGGCTTGCGTTTACATCAGTGTTGCCATGGCAACATGCTAAGATAATTTTAATTTTTATTATACTTTTGTCACACTTTTGTACACGGCAAAAATAGTCGAAAGATTATTGCTTTTAACTACATAACAATAACTTTCCGAAATATGTACTCTAGGTATGTTGTTCTGGATTTTGTGAGCTTTGATTTACTGTAAAATTTAACCTGAATTGCTTCGTAAAATGTTTTGAAATGTTCCGCATTTTAATAACTAAATTCATAAACTGCTTTTGCCGATAAACTGTTTTTACTTCAAATTGTTGAATAATTTCATTTATGTCTTCAAATTAATTTGTTCTCCTTTACATTTACCTTTTTTCTTATATTAAACAGGATAATTTAGGAAACTTTAATACAGCTTCTTTGAAAAGGAAAACAGCAGTGCATGTTTTATGCAATAAAACAATTCATAATCATAAACATTAACATTCAAAGCGAACTTGCCCTATATTTCAGAGATTTTCCATAGTAAATCAATTCTTCAAAGCTCATTGTGTGAAACGTGATTTGAAATTGAAATCTTGCTTTAATGAAAATTGAAATCTTGCTTTAATATACTCAGTGTGCTTATCCCACTCCTGGCAAACAGCCATATTTTTGAGATCAGTGAGGAGGTCCACCCTTGGATCATAGGCACGGTATTTGATGAACTTTAGACTTCACTAGTACGTTCCTTTCCCCGGGTGTAAATAGCCGGGGGGAATTAGTACCCTCGCGCTGGGCTAACGCCCGGAACGGCGCTCCGCGTGGTTGGCTCGGGGATGAAAGACAAACAAATTTCAGAGGGTCTATACTTGTATATTGTATGTGTAGTAGTCATTACATGTTTTTAGGGTTAGTTCAGAGGATTAGAAAGAGGAATTGATCACAATTCTTGTTTGGGGGTTCGTGCTATGTACAATAGACACAGGAAAAAATCAAGGCTGAGATATTGTATACTATGCATATTAATGAGTCAAAAACAGATTTTGACTGAGCAATTTTTACCAGAGACCTATACCTTAAACCATGAATATTATAACTAAACTAGAAATACATGCATGCAACAACCCCTCGCCAATATTTCCCAAACATTGTTTCAACATGAAGCATTTGTAATTACTCCAACACTGAACGCAGGCTCGTGTTGCTCACATCATGTAATCATGTTAGCCATGGCAACACGATAATTTTTTGTGCAAAACTGTGAAAATAAATTAAACTTGAACACTTTTAAATACAGAACTATCAATTTCTAAAATATATAAAGTAGGTATATTATTTTGCTTTGTATGGGCTTTATTTTAATGTAAAATTCAACACGAAACTCTTCGTAAAACGTTCTTAAATGTAAATTGAAATTAACCACGCTTTTTTGCCGATAAACTCTTCAACTCGACTACTTCAACTTATTACTCGCACTTTGAAATGAAATAAATTTAATTCATACATGACACTAATGAAAATAATTTGCTTTCCGTTCTATCGTGAACCTGTACAAAAGTTAATTTAACAGTAAGGAACTTTCGCATACAATGCATAGGCTTGAACAACAAAAACAAAGTTTATAATAATACAAAGTCGTACATAAACAACTGAAACATTTACTTGCCTTATACTTTAGGATTTCTCATACTAAATCAATTAGTAATGCTTACGTTTAAAAATTGTAAAAACGTTTTACAATTTGTTATGTGAAACGATTTTCCAAGCTTTCTTCGAGGCTCTCTTACATGTTTTTATATTTTTGCCTTCTTCATTCCTGGCGAACAGCCAATTTTGAGATCTGTGAAATGACCACCCATACACCATGCGCCCGCAATATTTGATGAACTTTAGACTTCGCTAGTGTGTTCCTTTCCCCCGGGTGTAATAGCCGGGCGGAATTAGTACCCTCGCCCTGGACTAACGCCCGGAACGGTGTTCTGCGCCGTTGGCTCGGGGATTACTTTTAATGTGTACTTTTCCAGATTGTTATCTCCATTGTCAGCAGTACAGAGGTTACCTCAATTGGCAATTCAACTGGAGGAAGATTCCCAAGCTGAAAGTTTGGTATTCAGAGAAAGTAATTAAGTCTTTGTTTATCACAATTAATTTTTAAAATGTATACAGTATATTACACCTGTTTAATATGTTATAATTTTCATTGACAATTACTTCCAAACATGTCTTTCTTTGCCCAAATATGTTTCGACTGGGTGCAGCGACCAGGTATGTTCCTAACTTGAAATAACAAGGCAAGGTTACAAGAGCTTCTTGGTAATACTCCCCTTTGTACTTTCCAAACGTTCAAGAGAATCAAAATTGGAGAACAAGTTTTCCACAGTGAGACATATTCCCATGCAAAGATAAGGAATGACTACACCATAGTATACAAGGAAGAAACAGGACAGTTTGAGGCTTATGGCCAAATCCATTTTTTCTCCAGCATCCCCCACCGATTCAGTACTACAATCAATCGCATGACAAAGCTGCAGTTTTTGCTGTAATTTGGAAACTGGAGCAGGATGGTGTTCCATTTCAAGATGTAGAATCTGATATTGTTGCCAACCATATTCAAGCTGTCAGTTATCCAGGGTGAGTTTAATTTAATAAATACAAAAATAAAAACTCCAGAAATTCAAAGACAAAGTGAATGCTGCCATATATTGTCAAGACCCTTTACAAGTGTTTTGGACAAGTTAAATTTAAATTGCCTGGTCTTAGTAAATAACAAAATACTAAAACGGGTTATTTAATTACATATTGGGTAATTATCACAATGGGTTAATAACATAGTATGTTCCTTATTTTATAGGGAGGATGATGTCGAGATAATAAAGGTTAGCTGGATTAAAGAAATGTGCGTGTACATGGAATTTGAAGGACTAAATCATGCATATATTAGCAGATTTGCAAATTTTATTTATTTTAAAGATTACATTATCATCAGTTTGACATCTTGCTTGACATGGCAAAAATACGAAGATAAATGTGTTAGTCTTAGAGGAATAGAAATATATACATTACAGACATTCCAACCTCTTGAACCTCAAAACCAGGACATTTATTGCATTGCCCCACCCAAAAAATAGTCAGTGAAAATTTAAGTAATTTATATGTTCAAAAGTTGTTCTAATTTTACAAAATGTGACATAACATGGGAATACTTATTGAAATTGAAGCAAATCATAATCATTCATTCGTTCCTTTATTCATCTGTTCGTTACATTTTTCGGGAATATTGTGTAATCTAATGTAATATGATATCGCTTGAAATATAAAGGTTGTAAATCGCTATAATGTTGGCATTTTATTATATCAATCAACATGGAATTTTTTAACTGAATCGAATGGTGTTATTTTCCTCTACATAGCATGCACTGAACCAAAGATATGAGCCTGCAAAATACCAGGTCGGTTTCGACCTGGTTATTTCAGCACCAAACGAAAAAGAGTTAATCAATTATAATAAAACTGATACAAATATGTGCACATTCATGATTTACATTTTGATAACATAGCACATACAAAATATCTTATTTAGATTTTCCATTGTATGGCAATTTCAAAATGTATAAATTGTAAGAGTTGGGATGCAATTCAACAATAGAACATGGCCATTGCCAAATTTGCGTAGGCAGATTTTATCGCATTTACAGAATGTGTTGAAAATGTTGTATTATTACTAGCTATAACTGTTTATAAAAGCAACAGGCTGCATGGCGTTAACAATACTTTACAGTAAAGATTTATCCAAATATCTGTATTTATCAAATCTTACTTTGTTTACAAACTTTCAATAAAGTGAAATTGAAATTATCAAGAAAGATATCTGTACCATCTTCAACAATCATGGGTTAAAAATTACCATCGAAGCCAACAAAAAAATAGTAGATTTTTTACATGTCACCCTAAATCTGTCTACCCAAAATACAAGCCATTTACTAACCCCAATAATATTCCATTTTACGTCCACAACAAATCAAACCACCCACCCAAAA